ATGCGCGATAAAGCGTAGTATAAATTGAGAAAATATCAACAACTGTATTATTTTGTTACCGCTTGTACATCCTGTGTTAATTTCATCGCTTGCGTCATCACAATCCACAACGTTGTTACACACGTACTTCCATGCCAGCTCTTCACCCGAGGTTTGACAATAGAATGATAAAGGAGCTGAAATAATAGACATAAACGGGACATTATTAAATGATAGCGCAATTGTGCGAATGGATTTCTACGACCGTCACCAAGATAACCCGTACTCTTACGATTGTTTGTGATATCTCCGAATGCGGGGGTAACATTGACGCTCTTGGGTCGTTGAATAAGTTTGTTGAGTTGTAGTCCATGTGAGTATTGTTGTAGAAGTTACAAGTTATAATGGTTGTTATGTGCTTGTTTCTCATGAATCAACTTATTTAGAGTAGGACAAGGTAATCAGTGCAGCAATACAACATTGTTCACTGTTAATGGGAAATCATGACAATCGTATATTACTAATGCTGAGGAAAAATTCGCGTTATAAAACTTACGACTTGTCGTTGCAGTTAACGTAGAATCTGTGAATGATAGAATGAACATTGGTTGAGTTTATGCAAAACGTCAATATAGCAATGGGTGAAGATTGGTTATATGAGAACATCTGCAAACGCTCAGAATACTCTGATCATTAAGGTGTGAATTATAATCTAATTATTATCAACCGTAACATCAATTAGAGTGTCACAGTCACGGTTGTCGCCGAGAGGTCCCACGTGATGTATAAAACGCGGGTAAAATGCAATGATCACGAAATCCGAGCGCACACTCCACGAAGACTGCGCCGCTTAGAAGCATTGCAGCTACTAGTAGACACGTTTTTATTCTTGAGACAATCTTTCAGAAATAGATATAATTTTTTTTTTACTTGGGCAGTTTGCTGGGTCTTCATCAGTTACGTCATCACAGTCATCATAATCATCACATATCCAGCTGACATGTATTGTCCGATTTCCTCCATCGCAGACAAAGAAGTCTTCACCTAATTTGAGATACAGACACATTTGAATATAGTGACGTTTTTCGAGTTACATTATGGTAATAATTACAGAGATTTTTTGAATGTCGAATTTCACAATCGAGGAAAACGCTTCTGGCCAACTGAAATACAGTTGGTCTTGCGAAAAGCGGGCGTTGATTTGGTGTGTGGCAAACAGGGCAAGCGATAAATAAACATTTATCGACTGGTTTTCCACTGGAAATCGGTCTAAAAGTTGAAAGGATTTAAGAAATGGATTCGGAGATTCTAGACAAAGAAACATATTATAGACAGTTTTCAGCAGTTGAGGATAAATTTTCTTTTCTTTTAAAATCCCCTTGTTGGGGTCATCTCAGAAACAAATTTCGGTCACAATATTTAGAAGGTCACACGAGAAACACGCATGAGCAATTTATTCATTTACTGTTAACAGTTAAGTCCTCGACAAATTGTATGTACATGTAAATTAAATCCGCTGCATTTCCCCCGATATGATGCCTTTATACTCATAGAGCAACTTTAATTTAATTGTTGTTTATTGCGAGTCTTGTGAGATTATTATTTCTATTGTATATATGTGCTACTTATATTTGCGTACGTGAGCCAGCAATCCACATACAAATTATTATAATCTACTCAGTTGGTAAATATCGACTTAATTTTAAATGTCGCCTAACAGAAAGAAAATAACATCAATAATACAGTTACAGCAGCCTGAAATGACTATGTATTCCACAACCAGTTCGTGATTGGTATGTCTAATTTTCACTGATTCAAATTTACTAACACGTGCATTCTAGGAATTAATTTATTCAAATATACTAACATATAAGTTATAACATATAAGGAAATAATTGTTTGTTTGTTTGTTTGTTTGTTTGTATTCACTCCTCCAATAACTAACAAGATATGTGAGTGCATATGGTATTGATGAAGCATACTATGTCATGTGTTTTTACAGATGAAAACAGATTTGAAAATATTGTTATTGAATAACATTCTACTGAGTTAAGGGGACATTTCAAGCAATCGTTATTGTCATGTACACGTATGTCTATCATATTGAAGCGCCCTCTATGTTGCGCGTCGCAAAAAACAAAAAAACGCAGACCCAGCGCGTGGTTTTAAAAAAAAAAGTCGATATACAATGCCAAAACAAGACAACGCAAATCAGTATAAGTTGTCATTTACAGAGAAACAATACATATTAACATACTGTTGTCACAGCCATCCTCGTCTTCACCGTCCTCACAGTCACTATACCCATCACATACCCAGTACTGTGATATACAGCTAGTATCGTTGCATTGGAACTCTTCGGTCTCACAATTACCTAAAGGTACAATACATAATTACAACGCGATACATTCAGAAGAGTCACGTCATATTACTTTTTAGTAGGTATAACATATTGGGTTTTCATTTCGCTGATTTACCATTTCAGGCATATTCAGTAGGTTTTAAATTCACGGTTTTATCATTTAGATAATGTGTTCTATGCTAAATTTTAATTTAGCGCATTTTCCAGTCAGCGAAATAAGCAAAATTAAAACCCAGTGAATAATTAATCTATTTACAGTAGATATTCACTACTTTGCGGGGTGTTATTGTCGCTAGATTTATCCTTCAGAGTACGACACTCAAAGTATATCATAAAAAATGTTGTACGTTGTAGACTTATACCACGATAAACTAAAGAAAACACGAAATTGCGGTGATTTAGAAACAGATTGTCTTACAATAACACTAAATGTATGAACGCATCATGCAGCACAAATTGCATAAACACAGTGGGGTATATTGAGCATTGGGGTATAGTTGCCATTAATTGTCAAATATCTATGCTTTGAAGACATAATTTGATTACGTTTATTTATTTTTTTTTGAAAATTCGATTGAATTCCACTTACTGTGAATGAAGTCGTGGATTCAACCCTACCCCTGGCCAACATTTTAAAAGCACATTATCTCCACCGCAAATCACTGCAGACACAGCCCCAAATCTGATAAGTTTACCGGATTTAGCCATGTAACCACAGTGTTAACATGTGTTTTTATAAGATTTTATCATGAAGTAATAGAAATTCAACAACATATTTTGGACTGACTTCTATCGAGTGGTTTTAAATGTAATCTTATCTTCAATGCTTGACGGATATGTAACACACATTCTGAAGACTACCTACCGCAAATACACGTCCAATGAGAACGTTCTTTAACATTTATATGGTAAGAAAACATATATAGCCATGCAGAATTCTGATAATGGTTCCAGTGCATTATAAACTATATATATATATATATATATATATATATATATATATATATGACTGCAGATAAACTACATTCCCTGTTTTTAAATTTCATTCCACCATTGTGAAACATCACAAGCGAATTTATTCTATTGCCCAACTATACGCTGTGTTTTCCAAGTTAATTAAGAAGTTTTTTTTTTAAATACAGTCTTAGCTAAAAAAAAAATACGTGGAATGTCGCCAAAACCACTAGTGGCTAATTCAGCTTTCATATGTTCAAAACTTCATTCGATGCTGCAAGGCAATTATTTTTATAAAATGAAAGTTAAAGCGGGGGAGTCATCACCTGCGCATGCCTCAGATGGCCACGGCGTGTCATTGTTTTCAAACAAGCGTCTACCTATGAGCCTTTGCGTTTTTAGCGTGAGTTGTTATCGTCGCCTGGGACTCAATTCCCGCGCGTGCGCAGGTGCCAACCCTATCGCTTTAACAAAAAGCGTCAAAATTGCATTCTCGCCTCCCACGTACTGTGGTGATCACGATGACAAGGATAAAATCATTGGATCTGGCAAAGAACCCTGAAATATTGGATATAAAAATAACCTACACCAGAGGTCATGTTATCTAAACAGCAAATCAAATACTGCTCCAATAATTACCGTTAGAAGATTCGCTTCCATACCCACAGTTATATTCCGCTTCATCAGTCTGGTCCAAGCAGTCAGCCACACCATCGCATACCCAATAACTCACAATACACGTGTTGTCATCGCACATAAATAGATCCGAGTCACAATCTGTGTGGCATATAAGCAATAATCAATGTAGAAATATTTGTAAAAATGTGTTTCATGATCACGATATAATTTGCCAACATTTATTTAGGGTGAGTTTGAACAGAATATTTGCAATGTTTAAATGCGCGTACCGTTTGTTGCGCTGTCGTCGCAATTCTCTTCATCGTTCCCCGAGAGGCAGTCTAGGTACCAATCGCAACTCCACGATAGTGGGATACAGTTCGCTGCATCACATTGGAATTCTGTGTTTGAGCAAACCACAATACCTGTTTCTCCTGGAACAGAGTAAAACATATGTTAATGCATATATATAAACATGTTTCTCCTTATTGCGAAAATCGAAAATAATGTGTCGTACGAATTACTACCGTTTACATCACGGCTGTCTTGAATTAGCCAATGACCCTTTTGGACATTCTGCGGCTAAATGACGTAACCAGGTTATGACATTGTATATGAAAGTACGACAACAAATTTACTACAAATTAAGCTATGCGTATTAACTGTGACAAATTGATTGATAAAACTCCTAAATTCAGAACAGCCGAGGTACAAAATAATGAAATCATAGGTACTTGATTGTTACATCAAATAAACCATTCGAGTTTCGCGCTCCGGGTTTGCATGCCGTGACCTGCACGCGACCATGAGTTAACCGATGTTTAGCCGGTGAAATATGGCGTGCATTATATAAAATATCGTATAATGCAATGCGCATCGTTAATTGTCGAGTTATTATCAACATTAATAAGTTAATAACACTTTGAATGTCACATGCAATTGCAATTCATAGCCCAAATGTGATGCTAACATAGGTTACGTTTTTTACCTGCAGATTGTGTTGCGCAGTCCAATTCGTCCGTGTTGTCATCGCAATCACTGTAATCATCACATTGCCAACTTGGTGGTATACACTTCCGTTGATCATCACACTGGAAATAATCATCTGCGCAGTACATTCCGCCTTTTGTACCTGGTGTGTTTTATTTAGAAATATACATTAGGGCAGTGTGAACCTGTCGTATAGGTACGGTATTTTCACTCATTGAGTGGGCTCCCGTCGTGGCATAGATTAACACTTGTCACAGTTCAGAGATGAGTCGGTATTTGTGTGCTCGTAAAATAATAATCATCACTGTTCTGTGGACTGCGTCAACATTGTTCTGTCTTTAAACTGGATTAAACATGATAGTGGTCAGCCGTAATAAGATGTGCATTCCATACATGATTTCGTTGAATATTATGCCATTTTAGAGGAGTCATTTCTGTTGACTGAATAATTTTAAGTGTTTCACCCAAGACGTACATGTGAATGTTACAGTAATGGATTAAAATCATCCCCATTACTAGTAATTTGTGAGAATTTCATGACTAGGTTGCCCATAATTAAATAGGCTTACTAAAACAAAAACAAAGAAAAAGAAGCAAAGTTTAACAAACTGATTTCTGGACAGATTTCGCTCTATCGGGCGCGCCTCATTCTTAAGCGAATGATTCAAAGTAAATGGTGGAAGTGTTTTCATTAAACCAAACTACTCACAGTTGCTCTCGTCGCTAGCATCTACACAGTCTTCTACACCATTACACAGGTTGGATAGCGCAATACAGCGGCCCGACGTCACACATTTGAACTCCTTTTTGTCTTTACATTCTTGAAGATATTTAAGTCATATAAAATGAATGTACTAGTATGCGAAGGTGTGATGTGGATGAAGATCACGTGTAATTAAATTGCGATATGATTACAAATTCGCAACAGAAACCTAAATCCTAATTCGTGTAAGAACTAATTTCGTGTCTTTGGGTAGTGCCCTTGTTTATTCGGAAAGCGACAATCTAGTTCATTGCTGTTTAAGTAAAACATTTCCAAGCACCCACTGCGTTATGTGGCACTGTCGCTGCGTTTGATTGACGCGCACGCTATGGATAAAGGAATTTTCGGTAGATCGTCCAGTAACGATCGCGTAAGTAAATTTTCAGGTACCAAAAATCAACACATTTAAGTTAGCAGGATGGGCCCTTTTGTGCCTGTTACTCATAGTACCTGTGTCCAATACAACAGCACAAGCTCAAGTGGGTGTGATGGAAGATTAGCTCCTACGTTTTTCAATTACAAATTTCTAAGGGAAGTCTCCTGAAATCGGTTAAAACAAACACTGTTCAAACACTATCTTTACTTCATGACAATATTTCAAATTATGTATTTGTCCTCAATCTAATTAACTGTAAATGTTAAAACATGCGATAATCTTGCAGAAATTACAGACTCACACAAGTGCCGTTTTCTCCATTTTCAATTCTGAACAACTCCAGTTTGCTTAAATCCAAAAAACAGCTCCTAAGTTGCATTTTGATTTTTTCTACAAATGTTTCCCGTATTTTAAAACATTGTCCGAAATACGAACGTGACATCACGGAGACACTAAATAGCAGGAACAGTTACCATTTTAGAAATGATGGAAATATTAATTAGAAGAAACAAAACACTCTAACAATTATACTCCATGACGTATTCTTTACAATGTTTTTTTTTCAACAAGATAACAGTAGTTATGCTAATAGCGTTTGTATTCACGTTATGCATTTAACACATCTGTTTATTTTTAGAGTCATGTGACTTTAAACAAATACAGTCTACACAAAAAAAAGCCTTTTTCAAACATCTATATGATTTGGCCATAATTGCTCTGACTCGAGCCTTCATCAATTTTTTTTCTAACAAAATAGACTATCCCGCTACTTTAATATTATTGGAGAGAACATTAACTTACCACAGTTGTCTTCATCTTCACCTCCATAACAGTTCAAAATTCGGTCACATCTATATGTTTCATCCACGCATGCGCCTAGGGGACTTCCGGTGTTACACTTGAATTGCGTGAGACCGCATTTGCCTGCAATGGAATGTTGTGAATAAACCCAATGACATCCTCATGGTAAAATGAATTACAATAAGGTATATAATTTTGACTTACAATAAAGTACATATTTACAATAATGTACATATTGACAATGAAGCACATACTTACAATAAGTACATACCTATAATAACGTACACACAATAAGTAAGTACATACTTGTGAGTACATAATAACAATAAAGTACATATTTGCAATAATGTACATATTTACAATGAAGCACATACTTACAATAAGTACATACCTATAATAACGTACACACAATACGTAACTACATACTTGTGAGTACATAATTACAATAACGTGCATACTTACAATAAAGCACATATTTACAATGAAAGCACATATTTACAATAAAGCACATACTTACAATAACGTGCATACTTACGTAACTACATACTTGTGAGTACATACTTACAATAACGTGCATACTTACAATAAAGCACATAAAATCGTACATATTTATAATAACGTACACACACTAAGTCCCTGATATCCATTGACGTCACGGGAAAGGTCTATACGCCTTGCATATGTATCGCGATGTACTCACCGTAGTTGCAGTTTTGTTCATCACTTCTATCTCTACAGTTATCATACCCGTCACATTTCAAATAGCTCTTTATACAACCATTGTTATTGCAACGGAAGTCACCTTCAATACACATATGTGCTAAAATGAACATAGAAGGTGGGTATATTACACACTTTGTAAACAAAATAAAATGTACAATGGAATTACATGCGTATTTATATTTTAAGAAAGTATGAGGAGTAAAAACTGACCGATTTGTAATATCTCGAAAGAGTGTGTATAATGTATAATGTGTATAATGACTTAAATTACCACAAAATAACACTTATAACTGCCCTAACAATTTGGACAACTTGAAATGTAACATTCTCAAAAATAATAATTTTCAGAAAAAGGCAGTACAAGATATTCCGGACAAAGTACCCTTTTTCAATGATAGATATGAATAGAAAAACATACATCCTGATACAAAGAAAGTAACTGCAGAATAGGAATATAATTAGATAGATTTGTAAAAAAAAAAAAAAGACGCTCACTGACGCAGGCTTCGTTCATCCTAGAAGGTCGGTTACATTGTATTGCAAACTTACTCAAAACACCTGACATGATACACAATCCCTCTACCACAGATAGATATATTGAGGGACTTTGCCTGATATAACCATTCTCGAAAATACCCGTTTCGGGAAAAAATAGGCAAGTTACTATCAGCTACATCGAATCATGTGTAGATACGCCTCTATTCATATATATCATTGACAGAAGAAAAGGTAATCGACCTACCATAGTATGGCCGAACTATTTCTGTATCAACTGTTATGAGTTGCTTGTATGGCGACTCTGCTATGGCGGACATTCGTAATTTGTTCGTATTGCATATCGAAACGCTTGGAAATGGTAGACCTGTTGCAGACACCACTTTAATCTGAAAAAATAAAGTTAAGCCACTCACTTACCGAAAAAATAACTATTATCAATGGCATTGATTCAAGTAGGCATGAAGGGACATACTACGACAATAGTTAATTGCAAACAATAGGGACGTCTTGTGTTGATTCAGTACTGAGAAAATGAATAGTTTAGGGCTTACACATATGAAAACTGATGGGCTGGGGGAATTGGGAAAATAAATTTGTTGTGGGAGAAGAGAAAAAAATACAATTTCACAACCCCATAATGTAAATCAATGAGGGCAAAACGTAAACGCAGATTTCAATTAGAATACCCTTTACCTACCCTAACGTTAACATCCCTGTCCATGAACTGTTTAAATAGTTTTTGTATTTGCCACACTGATACCGCTAGCGCTGTTAGGAATATTATCGTCCAGAAAATCGCCACGATAATTCCTTTCCCGTCAAATATCCTCGGGAGCCCATGGGCCGTAGTAGATCCCATAAAGTCGTTGACAATTTTCTTTGCATTCCGTTTCGCGCTTGTGTCCACATCATCTGAACTTGGTGGGGGATCTCGGGGTTTGTCTCTGTCGAAATAGGAGTTAAAATCGGTGTTGGGACCGACCGAATCGTTGCCGTTGGCTCTGCTGTTTTCAAAAGACATTCTCACCGATCTACGAGGCCAGTGAAACTCGACGTGGAACTCGTTAATATCAAAAGAAAATAAGGATCACATTACTAGTGGTCGATATATGCAAAACACTGGGATCTATCATTCAAAGTTAATAGTATGTGCAACCATAGTTACCTTTGAGAGAGACCTCTTTCTATGGTCTCCTATGTAATATAAGTTAACTCTCAAAGATAACTATAATTGCATATACTAAAATAAGGATCACATTACTAGTGGTCGATATATGCAAAACACTGGGATCTATCATTCAAAGTTAACAGTATATGCAACCATAGTTACCTTTGAGAGAGACCTCTTTCTAAGGTCTCCTATGTAATATAAGTTATCTCTTATACTTAACTATGATTGCATATACTAAAATATGGATCACATTAATAGTGGTCGATATACGCAAAACACTGCGATCTATCATTCAAATTTAACAGTATATGCAACCATAGTTACCTTTGAGAGAGACCTCTTTCTAAGGTCTCTTATGTAACATTTGTTTGCTACTGGCGTATTTTGTATTAAAATCCTTGATGTTTAAACCAAGGCCACGTGATAATCTTCCTGAGTTAAGTTTGCTTGTTCAGCATTGTTAAATGGTTTTCTTTTTTGTACTCCATCTCAAGTATTTTTTCGCAATTCCACGAGAAGTCGTCGTCACAAGTGTATCTACAGTCCCACATGTGGTGAAGGACTGTGGTGTATCGAATACCATCATTCCAATAAGTATGCACTTGTTTTTGTCGCCTTCAACGTATCGGACTTCACTTTCAAGGATAGTTATAGCACACAGTGAAACCGGGTGTTCCTTCTCTTCGAGAAGCGTACTCGTATACTAGTTCCCGTTGCCATTGTTAATGTTGAGAACACCATCTCTATCTACGTTGTCATTGTTGACACACTTTGTGACTGCAAGATAAAAAGAACTGTCTCGTTCATTCAAGATAAATGCTGCTTCAAGCAGCTTCTGAAGAGTTCTGCAGTTAAATTAGACTTGATTACAATACATATAAATTGCGTCTGTTGGGATTTCGCGGTTACAGGACTTTCGCGTTCACCCCTCGTTTACGCAATTTATATTTATTTTTCAAGAATTTTTCATCGGAATCGCAACAGACTGCAAACAAGTCTACAGTTAAACATTAGTTTACGGCTGTGTCGTATTCAGGCAGAGTAAATTGTAAGTGACACGAGAGTTTAAATGAACAAATTGTAACATTCTTTTTAAATTCTTATAGTTCACGTGGTCCATTTTCATTGCAAAACCTTTTTTTAGCAGGCTCTCCGACATCTAAAAAAAATACATTACATCCGCATCCGCAGTGTACAAGTTGTACTTCTAATGACAAGAGTTGGCTAGCTTCAGTTCTCAATATTTCGAGATTTGTTTCCATACCGACTGATTTTACCATTTTGCATTGTGATCACAATAATCAGTGGGAGGGGGGGGGGATGTTCTGCTTATAATACAAAAATGGAATGGAACTTTAAGATGAAGTCGGGTCGGTATGAATAAACAAAATAATTTAGTACCGTCCGTTGTCGATTCTAGATATAATATTCCAAATGCTACCTGAACTCAGTAAACTGGTAGGAAAAATATTGCTTGAGTATGGCAATAAAAACTATGTACTAGTACACTTGCCGAGAATACTACCGTTACAGTAGCATGATGGCAACCGATACATAACACACTGCACCCGTGTACATGCCTCGTATTCTCCGATATCATGCTACCGGTACGCGTTACCTGGCGTTATACCATGGGACACGATTAGTTTCTATCCCGATGATGCATTTGACGTGATGATCGGCGGATTTGTAATGCAGGACACTGAAAAGCTGAATTCGGAACCATAGTAAGAGCGCCCTCGGTGTTCGAAGTGTTGGAACAACACTAATTACATTCATATTCGTGGCCCGCGTCAAATCGTAATGCGCATCTTGTTTTTTAGACGCATCATATGTAGTTCTGGACTCATGAAGTCGCAGTTTGATTCACACCCACTCACTATTTGCGTACGATTCTATTGTCCTACGGTTGGCGTTAAACATGACCCTATTCGACTATTTTTTTCGGTAGTAGTTATATTTCGGTTTTACTGGTTGGAATGAACAAAAAAATATGCGACTGTAAATAATAGCTGTTTATGTACTACACACTGAACTTCTATTTGACATATTTTAGTGTGAGAAAATGGATGGTTGAGAAATCGCCAAATGTGACAATTTCACCATTACCATATGAGCGTTACGGAGAAATTTTGATTAACCATACCTAATACATACTGCTGATCTAAGTGTTGGGATTTCCATTAATCACTCAAGTTGAAGTCAATGTCTCGAAAGCATACTTTACACTTAAAAGGCAAAGGTTGTCGTCGCGCTGCGCGTGTTTGAATTTCGTGAAACAAAACATGTATTTCGTTATGGAACCGTCTCGAATACGACGCGGTGCGGCGACAACCACCCTTTTACTAACCACGCATCTTTCAGGAGGGGGAATCGATCCGAATTTATGTGGTGAATCCTAGACTTGCATCCAGTGTCTAGACTGTTTTTTCGTGTTTTTTTTAATAAAATAAAATATTATTTAAATGTATAAATGTTACAAGCAGGGTAAACCGCGAAACAAACACGTTAACCCAGCTTTCGTCATTTATACACTCGCTTAATATTTTATTTTATTGACAAACAACAAAAAACAAACAAGAGACTGTAAGCAAGTCTGGGAGAATCCGAATGAAACGCCACTTTCACACACTCATTACTCTTAACCAATCAATGACAAGACACATGGTAGCATTAACATAATGTATTTAATTTGCTGATCCGTAAGTCAGAAATCATTCTGAATATGGATCTCCCACAACAATTGTATCTTCTGTTCATAATTTTTATTAAAAATCTAAAAAATAAGTGCATAAAGACTGAAATGAGTGGAAATGGCACGCCGTATATTTAAGTAAGTATCCGTATATTACTGTAATAAAAAGGGCGATTTTGTTTATACCTAGAAACATGTTCCGAGTAAAATGGTCATACAAGGGACTGCCTGCATATAGTTCGTAAAGTGTTGGTATTCTGATATTTACACTGAATGTTGTAGGTTTTCTCGCGAATCTTGTAAATACAGTTCATTGCTTTCGCGTTGTCATTGTCTATTAACAAAGATACACCGACGTACTTTGCCGCACTTCGTCGTAAGGTGGCGGCGCCTCACCCGGTGGTGGATTCAAGTTGGTCGGAGTAAGATCAAGGAAATGCGTGATAGGTTCACGCGATCGTCTGTGCGAGTTGCGAGCTGCATTGCCTTCGGGCGGTATTGCGACTCATTTTGTTGGGTAGCGTCAAAACTGTTGTTGCAATGACCAGACATCGGCGGCGTGGTCACTGCATCTATTGGGCTAGCGTAGGTAGGCGACATTGCGCGACGTCCTTTAGATTTCCGACCTGGTTGCGATATGCGCCGTGTCCTCGAGCTATGTACGTGTCCCCGAGGTTTTCTTGGTGAGGCCACAATTGTGGGGTTCCGACTACTTTCAGAAGCAGTCCGATTTGTTCCTGGATTATCCGCTGGCGAGGTTTGTCGGTACATCCGGGGATTATTTGTTGGCAAAACAAAACAATTATTCATTGAAATACGCGGCGTTGATGAGCTTGAATTGTCATGTGTATTGTGGTTCTTCATTTGACCATGCAAGGGAGACGTATGCGAGCTTAATGGAGAGTGAGTCGGGGAATCATAAACTGGCTCCCCCGCCCGATTAGAGTTTTGACCTTGCAACGGTCTATCAACTGGCGGGTCTTTTAATGGCGAGACCGAGCCTGGTTTCCTCTGGTCTTGTTTCGGTATCGCCGGTAAATCTATCGGCGAGTCATGCACTGGTGACGCTAACAAATCAGTTCGAAACACATGCATTTGATTCGGAAGGTCGAGAGGCGTATGGTGCTCTGCCGAATCCTGAATCAATGTCTCGGTGGGTATGGTTGGCAAATCAGCAGAGGTATCTCGCACTGTCCTCACATTGGCGATAAGATCATTAGCTGCCGTTGCAAGATCGAGCGGGGGCTCAGGCACTGTCATCTGCATCGGCGATGGAAGATCAATCGGGGAGGCATATATCGGCGATTATGACCGAGGTGTAGTTTCTGCTTTGTTATTACGGTACGACACTGTGGACTGCTGTAAATCGGTGGGTAACATGACACCATTTTGTTCATCTGTTAACCTGGTATGTGGAAAAAAAAACAAAGTTTATAATTTCTACGAAACTGATGCGCAAGACTATTATATAAAGGTAGGCAGACGAATCAGCCATAATTAGCCAAGAAACGTGAGTGTATAAATTACCCTTGATTGAACTAGAAACGCAGGTACATAAATTAGCCTAGAAATGTACGCAAACAAATCAGCCACAATTAGTGTTTTATCGGGTTTAACAAAGGCGTGAATTGGTTTTATTAGAAATATTTATAAATTTCAATGGCAATAGAAAAAAAATTGAATACCACCCGTGTATAGAACTCGGTTAACCTTTAGACTCTGCATTGCAGATAATGGCATTACTTGCCTATTTTTAAATTCATTTCGTAATTAAAAACAAAACACTGTAACACTGTGTTTTAAATAAAATTGATTATATCTATATTTTGCGTTTATGTCAATAAGTCAACAAATGACACCCCCGCCTACTCATGATTTCAAATACTCAGAATTTATTCCTTTTTTAATAAATTGTACTTCTGGACAATATAAGAATATTGACTTGAAAAAAATGTTTGGGGTCACCAGGTTAATTTTCGAGAAAATGATGGTGGTATTTTAGTGGATAGTGGCCATTTTGGCAGTATTATAGTGCTTTTACCTTAGGTTACTATGACAGAGATATTATGCCATATCTCAAATTGTGGGCTGGCGACATGGGCTGAAAAAAATAATATATTGTTACGAATGGGATACTTTTTGTTTTCCTGAATTT